TGTTGATAATCTGTACGAATTGTCTATAATCACCCGGACTTCTATTACTTGAACTGCATGAATCCTCACCTGGTGTTTTCTCCATTGCATACTCAACAACAACAATAGCGTTTGACAATCATTCTGCCAACCCAATTATATATTTACCACAACACCTATTAAATGACCTTATTCCGCTTTAAAAAGGTCAAAAGGACATTGACAAGCCAATCCTATAGCAAAAAACTATACATGCACAGAATAATACAAATAAATCCGTACTTTACTTTAGAACTTTTAAAAGAAAATTCTTTGCATCAAACCTTGCAGATAAAACCACAACCACCAAATTCAACAAACGTTTTCTCGGTTTGGGATAGACAAGTTGTTTACTTTTATCTCTATTGGGCATCTTTTATCGCCATTGAATGACGCGCAATGCGGCGTCACCAATAATTCAACAAATATACACCATCAACGTCAGAAAAATGCACCACAAAAACACATACAAATTAGGTACGCATCACCAAAAACACACCATTAGGTGTGAGTAAAAACACCATACAGTATTCGAAAATACACCATTAGGGTGTGGTGAGTTATATGGTATATATTTTTTGGTATTTTTCTTCATTTCATTGTGGTGTGTTTCCCTTACACTGTTGGTGCATGTTGTTAACACAGTTGGTGTATTCTGAAATTCCGCCGCATCTAAGGACATCGCCGTATTTGAACTTTTTCACACACACACGTATGTATGTATTTCACAAATTCAAAAAAGAATAACAAAATATAACATGCATCTCACAAATTCGCTTTTCCTATTTCCGTCTGATACGATCCCACATCGGCTTTCACAAGAGATTGTGAAGTGGTACTTAAGTTAGGGCCAAACCTCCCCTCATGAATTAGCTTTTATGGTGGAGTTAGAGTCTTGACTTGATACCGTATCAATTGGTGCTTTTATTGAGAGGTCGGAGTGTGGTGGGAAAGGGTTACCCGGTGCTTGATAAGGTCCAAACGAAACCTAGAAGAGTCCGGAGTGAAAGCTAACTAGAGTGAAGCTGGGCGACCTAGAAAAGGGCTACCTGGTGCTTGATAAGGTCCGGAGTGAAGCTATCCAAAGGGGAAAAGGGCTACCTGGTGCCGAGAAGAGTCGGAGAGTAAGCCGCCGCGAACGTCGGCTTTTCAAGGGGTGTGCAAACTTCGGTAAATTTTTAGTTAACTGACAAAGTTCGGTTAATCGTCGGTTAATGGTTAAAATGTTTTTTAAAATTTCGGTTAACGGTTAATTCGGTTCGAAACTTCGATTAATCGAACGGTTAATTGAAATTTTAAATATATATATATATATATAATTCTTAACTATAATAAAGCAGAATGGTCTGGCCAAAATTTATAGCTCTAATTCCCACCTGACAAATACTGCGTCGTTTTGGGGTTAGCCTATTCAGTTATACGCGTTTATTGTTATTAACTTTTGGGCGGCTGATTTAAATTGAGACTCTTCGATTAGAGGATTATTTTGTATTAAACATTGTGTCCATTGGATATCAGAACGTCTGCATTAATGAAGATACATTCAGAATATAATTCTAAACCATGGCCTATAAAAGGAGCCTTTCAGATCAGATCCATCACTGCAATTATAAATCAATACAAACACGTTCACTGCAAAGTGAGATATATCACCAATGAAAACAACGAAGTTAGAGAACATAGTGGCGGTGAAGTTGTGAAATGTCGAGAGAGTGTATTCCATGATATCGAGGTAAGCTTCTAGCCTGAGAAAAATGTAATGCTCATTATCAAGATTTAAATGAGAAGGATTCAACAATAGCACGATATTTTTTATAACACGAGAAAGAACAAATTTATGGTAAGTTTAGCTATTTTATGATTGTGAAACAGTACAAAAATTTAAATTTCCCTAGGCACATGTTTTGTTTGACAAGTTTTAAATTGTTGAAATCATCTGAAATAATCTTAGCCATTTTCTCTTCTAATAAATTATTTTAGTATTTATATAAATAATCTTAGTCATTTTCTGTTCTAATAAATTATTTCAGTATTTATATGGCATATGTATCGTTTGAGACCATTCGCTAGTTTGAATGGTAATACACGATGTAATGAGAAAGAGCTTATTGGTAAGTTCTTTTATTTAATGTATTTTCTTTGCATTTTTTTCTTCAGATTTTAAATTTTGATTTTTGTGTCTAGCAAATAATCACAAGTTCACATTCTCAATTTCGATACTTTTTTCTTAATTAATAAATTTCTTTGGTCGGGTAGTTGAGAACTATTCTTCTCAGGAGAAGGTCTATGGTAATACTAAGGTACTAACTAATATTTTTTTATTCCTAGGGATTTTGGAAGATGACGCTGAAAGCCCGGTTGCACCCCTTGGTACTATGAAGGTTGTTGACTCAACACATAAATATTGTGAGTGGTAAGTCACATACTTATTGATAGGCTGTTTAACCATCTATTGTATTTAAGATGAAATAATCAGCACATAAATATTTAACTCATCAATAAGTTAAAAATTTAGTAGTAAGTCACATACCTATTGTGAGTGGAGACCGAAACATTAGAGCATGCATTATCATAAGTATTGTTACTCAGCCTGCATAAATTGCATATTACAACAATGTCCAGTTAAAGAGAGTGGAATTTTGGATAAATGTGTAGACTGTACAAGGATATTGAATGAAGTGTAAACTAAGATTATGAATTAACTTGGAATAGTGTTAATGTGAACTTGAATCTGGACTCTGCATCCATTTCTAATGTGAAACAGTGAGCAGTTACAATGACCAAATTTTGATCATTGGTTATAAAGAGGAGATTAAAGGCAGACACAGTATAATGGAATCACAGCTAAAAGACTTGGCAATGAGATCTAAGTAAGTATCTCAAGTTTATCATTCAAGGCTACAACCCAACAATTGCAGCTAAATGAATTGAAAATGGTATATGATATGAACTATTTCTGGAATTGAAAATAAATTAACTCAGCAAAATATGAGTACCAAAAGTATTTTGTACCTGTGAATGTCCAGCTCTCTGTTTCAAATCTTACAGATCTGACCATACATGTTCCAAAACGCAGATTATACCAAAATGTAGTTTGGAGATTTTTGAATTTCAAATGTAGTTAAAACGATGACATTATGCCAAAAGACCTTGAAATTGTCTCAACTTGAAGATTAGAAAAAATAAAATTAAATCAACAGATGTTTATTCAATAAATATACGAAAACGCAGCAGATATTGCTATCACATTACATACACCAAAATCCCAGTGAATCACTGAATCTGACATGATATGTTACACATATTAAGCAAAACTCTATAGTAAGCACAAATTAATGGTAAGTAGTATCTGAATCCGTAACAATTAAGATAAGATTAGGAAGTTGAACTGATTCGAAGCATATGAAAGTATAAAGGTCAGCTTCAACCAGTATAGCAAATCGTATAAACTTATTAAACACTTACCCAAATAATAATTCTTTCAATTAGATCCCAAATTTTACTCCGTTAGGCTGAACTTATCCCAGCCAAGAAGCTTTTTGCAAGCTGATGTGGACTCTTGCCATGTGTGTGTGTGTGTGTGTGTTTTTTTTTTTTTTTTTTTTTTTGTTGCCGCAACTTTTTGTACCTTTTTTTTAGAAAAACTTTTATATTTTTAATTTGTTTGTTTAATTTAGTTTATTTTTAACCACTTTTTTTTTGTTTGTTTTATTTGTGTAGTTGTTTTGCCGTAGTTTTTTTTTAATAAGTAATAATTTTTAATAAAATAATATATTAAAAGAGTACATAACATTACATTGATTTAGAAATACAATGCATACAAATTAATTCCATCATACTTACTCATCTAAAAACTTCTTCATTTGCTTATCGTACAATTGTTTTTGCGTTCCATTCATACTTGATGTATCTAGTTGTATAAGCTGAATGAGAAGTTTATTTTTCTCAGTTTGTTGTTGTTGTTGTTGTTGTAGCCTTTCTTCTTGTCGCTTCATATATTGTTTCATGAGGTTTATTTTTTCCATTTCCACATTGACTTGCGTTTCAACTTGCTCGCCCAAACTTTTTGATACCGTTGACTGTGTTGTTGATTGCATTCTCTTTCCTTTCGCCTTAGAAGCGTCCCTTCCCATGGGACGAGAGCTAGACCATCACACACATGGTGTCTCACTTGGTTGTGAATTTGATGATGAAGATGTGTATTTACCTGACTCTGTATTTTTTGTTCGCTTTGGACGTTCATCTCTGGTTAAGTCAGATCAATGCCACTTCTAGCTTGGTTACACTATTTCTCTTCATTCCTTAGCACTTCCCAAGCATGCAAAAACATAAAACTTTCCTTCTCAATCTCGTGATATAATTGCATGGCCCTATTTTGTTTTATCAACCTCATTTAAGCCACTTTCCCTTCAATGCAAAATCTATTCATAATAGCCGGCGAATTTTGAAACTGAATGATTTAGCCTCCCCCAACGATTCTGCAATCCCATTTTATTCCTTTTGGCTTGCTCAGGTTGGCTCCGGTACAGATTATAAAATTCTACAACTCGATTCCAAAAGCTATTACCACTTTGATCCTTTCCAACTGCAGCATCTTTACTAATGTTGAGCCATTCGCTGCATAACATCATGTCATCCTTATTTGTCCATCGAGTTTTCAATATGTTTGGTGGTCGTGTTTCTTGAGGTGTTGGCATTTCTTGAGTGGAGTACTTAGGAAATTCTCGCAAAGGTATATTTGTTGTATGAGTAGGATGAGAAACCCCAGTGGGAGTAGACATTGGAGTAAAACTAGAATATGATGGATGATAGGTTGGGGGAACACCTTGAAACAAGAAAGGTAATTGCTGATAATTCACATTGCTCATTCCAAGAAGAAAGGGGAATTGAGTGATTGGAGGTTGTGGGTTTTGATTGGCTTCATTAGGGTCATTATATGAAATTAGTGAGAAGTTAAATAATGGATCGCGTGGAGGATCCATTTGAAGGTTTCGAAATATTTCGTAAAGGAAGAAGGCAAATGATGGATGAAGTAATATGCAAGAATGATCATGTACTTATACGTGGGATGATACACAACTTTTCTTCAACTTATTATTAGATTCCATACACTAATTTCCTCCACATAATTATTAGATTCCATACACAAATTTCCTCCACCTAATTATTAGATTCCATACACTAATTTCCTTTAACGTATTATTATATTCCATACCCAAACTTCTTACAAACTATGATATTTGTACACAAATTTCGTACAGAAATGATGATATTCTCTACCCAAATTTCCTCCAAAAAATGATGATCCATTATTTATACGTAGGATGATACACAAATTTTCTTAAACTAATTATTATATTTCATACACAAATTTCCTTCAACGTATTATTATATTCCATACCCAGACTTCTTACAAACTCAAATGATATTCCATACACAAATTTCCTCCACCTAATTATCAGATTCCATACACAAATTTCCTCCACCTAATTATTACACTTCATACACAAATTTCCTTCAACGTATTACTATATTCCATACCCAAACTTCACAAATTTTCTTCAACTAATAATTATTAGATTCCATACACAAAATTCCTTCAACGTATTATTATATTCCAACTCAGATGATATTCTCTACCACTTCAAGAAATGATGAACCATTATTTATACGTTGGATGATACACAAATTTCTTACACACTCATTTTACTAAATCTCATTACTCTTTCTTCTCCTCCCAAACTCATTACTCTTTCTTTCATATACTATGGATGATGAGTAGAACTCAATGGGTGAATCTAATTCATTTTATTCTGAATTTTCAATTGAAAATTATGAAAATCCTCCCTTCTCTAACTCATCTTCTTCATCCCAAGACCCAGATTTGAGTGGTTCATGGATGATACCCTATCGAACCTAATAAACCTACGACGAGAAGCTATAGAAAATGAGGCTGCATCGTCTCGGCGTAGAAGAAGGCCAAGATGGGTCATTGAGAGAAACCGTGAAGAAGCAGATCAACGTTTATATAATGACTATTTCTCTAATAGTCCAACGTACTGGTGAGCTGTCGTAGGCTCCCAAATTAAAACCTTACAAACGTAGTAGCAGGAGTAAGGTTTTAATTTGGGAGCCTACGACAGCTCACCAAATTTTGGCGCCGTTGCCGGGGAGATTTTCTTGTTTATTTTGTGTTTATTTAATTATTTATTTGTTTATTTGTTTTTCTCGTTAATTTTTCCCATAAAAATTTAAAAAAAAAAATCTTTTCTTTCGTTACTTTTACATAATTGCTGCAATATATTTTCTTTTTGTTTATGCCTATAACTCGATCTGCTAACAAAGAAGTCCTGCCATACAATCCAGAAATTGAAAGAACTGTACGCAGGTGGAGGAAACAAGCTTTGAGCAAATTGGAGTTTAGTGATCTGGCTACCGATTCTACCAATTCTAATTTAGAAGAGGAACCCATGACTCAGAATCGGACTTTAAAAGAGCTTGGAGCACCAAATTTAGATCACCAACCTTTATGCATCACTTTCCCTGCTCTGGATGCTAATGTACAATTCGAACTGAAATCTGGATTAATTCATCTTTTGCCTTCTTTTCATGGACTTGCAGGTGAAGACCCTCACAAGCACTTGAAGGAATTCCATGTGGTGTGTTCAAGTATGAAACCCACAGGGGTTACTGAAGAACAAATCAAGTTGAGAGCCTTCCCATTTTCTTTGAAAGATTCAGCGAAGGATTGACTATATTATTTACCTTCCGGAAGCATCACCACATGGAACAACTTGAAGACAATGTTCCTTGAAAAATATTTCCCAGCTTTAAGGGCGGCCAATATTAGAAAGGAAATCTGTGGTATAAGGCAAAACAATGGAGAGTCTTTGTATGAATATTGGGAGCATTTCAAGAAGCTTTGTGCAAGCTGCCCACACCATCAAATCAGTGATCAATTACTCATTCAATACTTTTATGAAGGACTTTTTCCGATGGATAGAAGCATGATTGATGCTGCAAGCGGTGGTGCTTTAGTTGACAAAACACCAGACGCTGCAAGAGATTTAATTGCAAACATGGCTGCAAATTCTCAACAGTTTGGCAATAGACTTGTCCAACCGTCTAAGCAAGTGAATGAGGTAAATATTTCTGCTCTTGAACAACAAATTACTGGTTTAACTACTCTTGTTCGTCAATTAGCAGTAGGCAATATGCAAACTGTAAAAGCATGTGGAATTTGCTCGGTAGTTGGGCACCAAACTGATGCCTGCCCAACTCTTCAAGAAGTTGAACAAGTCAACATGGCTGGAGGTTTTCCTGGACAACCTCAAAGTAAGTATGATCCATTTTCTAATAAATATAATCCTGGATGGAAGGATCACCCGAACCTTAGCTATGGGAACTCACAAGGGAACCAGTTTGTTCAGAATCGTTCTAATTTTCAACAGTATAGACAACAATTTCCTTCCAGCCAACAACCAGCCCAAAGCTCTAGCTCAGGTATGAATCTAGAAGATATTGTTAAAACTCTTGCTACTAACACTTTGCAGTTTCAACAAGAAACACAACTATTCCAACAAGAGACAAGAGCTAGTATTCAAGAAACAAAGATTAGTATTCAAAACTTAGAAAGGCAAGTGGGCCAACTAGCAACTACGGTAAGTCGATTGGAAGCACAGAGCTCTGGCAAATTACCCTCTCAAACGATCGTTAATCCTAAAGAGAATGTAAGTGCAATTACTGTGAGAAGTATGTCGCTGGAAAAGAATGTTGATTTAGACAAGGAAATAAGTGCAGGTAACATTGCCAATAAAGAGAAGTCCCAAGGTAACCTTTCTTCTTTTTCTGATTATGAACCAGTACCCCCTTTTCCTCAAACTCTTTTGGAACCAATAAGAGGAAACTCAAATAATGATTTATATGAGACATTTCGTGAATGTGAGGCTAATAAACCATTTTTAGATTCTATGAAAAAGGTACCTCGCTATGCAAATTTTCTAAAAGAGGTATGCACATTGAAAAAGAAACAAAATAAAGGAGTTGATGAAGTGAAAGTGCACGAGAATGTCTCTATGGCTAGTCAAGACAATCTTCTTGAAAAGTGCAAAGACCCAGGTATGTTTACTATTCCGTGCATGATAAGTGGTGTTAAACTTGAAAATGCTATGTTAGATTTAGGAGCTTCTATTAATGTTATGCCATATCCTGTGTATGCTTCTTTAAATCTTGGACCCCTGAATAAATCTAGTATAGTAATTCAATTGGCTGATGGATCTACTACATATCCTAGGGGTGTGGTTGAGGATTTGCTTGTTAAAGTTAATAACTTGGTTTTTCCTGCTGATTTTTATGTCCTTGATATGGAAAATAATAATCAAATTTCTCATATTTTGTTAGGAAGACCATTTTTAAAAACCGCAAAAACGAAAATTGATATTCATAGTGGCATGCTTACAATGGAGTCTAATGGTAAATTTGTGAACTTTAATATTTATGATACCATGAAATCTCCTAGTGATGATAATTTTGCAATTTTTGTTGATTCCTTGAAACTTGTTAAATTTAATGCAATTGCTTCTATTGAAAATAAAGAAGAACCAAATAATAAATCATCTTTGAGTCCTAATCTGCATGAAGGGGCTGTTTCTTTGAATACTCATAATCATCGAAGGTACTCAAAAAGACGATGGAAATTTAAAGATATATCATGAGTCGAGCCAACGACGATAAACAAAGGCGCTGCTTGGGAGGCAACCTAAGGTGTGTTTGTTCCATTTTTATTTTATTTTATTTTATTTTATTCCCTATTCTCATTCAATAAACCTTTTTCTACATGTTTTTATTCAACATTGGGGACAATGTTAATAATAAGTGTGGGGGAGGGAATTTAGTTTTATTATTTGTTTGCTTATAACAAAATTTTCAAAAATTTTCACAAATATTTTACTAGTATTTTATGCAAAATAAGTATTATTTTGAAAAAAAAAATTTATATTTTCCTTTCCTGAAATTCATAATGTGGTTGAATAAATAGTTTGGCAAATTGTGATTAGTTTGTTAGCATTTCTTGTTTGATATGTAGTGGCTATATTAAGTAAGCAATAAACCTATGAGTGTTTTGAGCCATTGACTGACACTTCGGTCATATTTTCTTTCTATTGTGCGATTTCTTCCATAATTTTGTTTCTCTAGAACTTGCCTTGAATCTCTTTTAAAGCTAATTAAACCATGCATGATTCAAGTGTGATTAAGGCCATTATTTGATCTTGAGCCTCACTAGCCAAATAACCGGTTTGTCCTATGATTTATTTCCCCTTGTTAACCACTTTGAGCTTTATGGTCATTCTTTTCTTATTTTGAACCACATTACAAGCCTTTTATATCTAAAAATAATGCCTTCACCCAGCTGAATAACTAGTGGAGCAAATTTTGAATTATTCTTGTAATCAGCGTGAGATTGTGAAGAATAAGTGTGGGGGAGATCACTTACTTTTTGAGAGTGAGGCGGGTGTTGCATCTTCGTTGTCAATTTGGTTTTGTCCTTTTATGGAAAAGAAAAAATGAAGGCAGTTTATCATAAAAAAAAAAGTATGGAAATTTGAAAGAATGAAATGGAAAAAAAAATGGAGAATATATGTTTGAAAAAGAAAAATATTGCTGAAAATTTATGAGAAAAATGAGAAAGAATCAGCAATTAGTTTTGAGTTGAACCTACTCATAAATAAATGAAGCAAGGGGAAGTTCTTGTAATAGTGAGGAAGAATTCTATATTTTTAAGAATGATAGTCATGTTGAAACCTCAATAGATTGTGTTTTTGAATGGAAATTGAGGGTGTAGGATTACTTCTATTTATTTGCTCCTCTAGTTTGAAGCTTTTTCTTAAGCTACTTTCCTAAATATTCCCTACCTTGACCTTAGTCCCATTACAACATGTGAAAAGTCCTTATGATTTCTGTCATGCATGACTCTTGTAGTGGT